TACAATTCTTTACTGACATAGGCGAAAATTTAGCAAGTAATTATACAAGCAAATGTACAAAATACTCAGCCTCCAAAAAGAACTTTGAACTCATTTATTTTGGATAATGTCGAGCAATCTGAAGTATACACCACTGTTATGTCCTTAAAAAATCGGAAAAGTCCTGGGTTCGATGGTATTAAAAGCGAGCATTTGAAAATTATAGCCGAGGACATAACAGAACCACTCACTTACCTAATCAACAAATGCTTTGAATCTGGCATATATCCCTCAATTTTAAAAAAAGGTAATATAATACCGATACATAAATCAGGAACAAAAACAGATGTTAACAAATATAGACCAATATCAATAATATCCAGTGTAGCAAAGGTTTTTGAAAAAATTTTATCTACTAGAATGATTCGATACCTCACAAAATTCAAAATTTTAAGTGAAAATCAATATGGATTTACAGAAGGGAAGGCTACATCGGACGCAATAACTAAAATTGTAAATCAAATACATCAAAATATTGATAACAGAATCCCTTCAATCTGCATTTTTGTTGATTTAAAGAAAGCTTTCGACACAGTTAATCACAAATTATTATTAGAAGCATTGGAGAGAATTGGTTTCAGAGGAAACGCGTACTCACTGATCGAAAGTTATTTGTCAAATCGCCCACAATCTGTGCAGATATCAGGATCATTTAGTAAAGAAATGTATATTAAGTAAGGAACTGTCTTAGGTCCGCTGTTATTCAATATATATTTAAATGATATTTTCCAAATTAATTGTGTTTGAAAAATAACTAGTTTTGCAGATGATACTGCAATATTATATGAAGGCACTGACTGGTCTGATCTGAAAAATGTAATTGAAAATGATTTTATCAAAATTATTCAGTGGTTTAACAGTAGAAAATTAAGCATTAACTACTCTAAAATACATTTTTTACCATTTGAATCTTATGCTAGACATCTGCCAAATTACACAAATTTCTCCTTCAATATTAATGATCAAAAAATGCAAATTAATAGAGTGCCCAACATAAAATACCTTGGAGTGGTCTTGGATCCTCACTTACGATGGGATCCATGTCAATTATATTTTAAAGAAAGTTAGATTTGTATCCTACAAAATTAAATACCTTGGGAATATATTGACAGAAAAATATCTTCGAACATTATACCATGCACTGATTGAGCCTCATCTCACATATGGTATATTAGCATGGGGAGCTGCATGTTCCTCACATATCTATAATTTAGATGTTTTTCAAAAAAGTATTCTAAAAATGATATTTAAGAAACCGAAACTTTATCCCACTGAAAAATTATACGCAGATGTTCGGATGTATGATATAAGACAACTTTATTTCTTACACAGTATCACTCACTACCATAAATTTGTAAACACCGACCAAAAAATTAAACATAATCATTATACCAGGTACAAAATTCGTGGCACAGTAGTTCCTCAACCGCATAAATCTACAATGCAGCGATCATATCTCTATTTAGCGCCTAAATTTTATGAAATTATACCTAAAGACTTAAAAGATTTACGTTTCGGAAATTGTTTCAAAAGAAATTTAAAAAAGTGGCTACATTCTATATCTAGGACTGAAATTCATAAACTCATAAATACGAACATCAACTAAATACATAATCTACTGTAGCTAATTTTTGTCCTTTTTTGTCATTTGCATTCTACAGTTTCAACTTAAATTATTGGTCCATGTACAGGCGATGCCTTCTATTGGGCCTGTTTTGATTTTATATTTATTTACTTATATTGTTTGTTATCTTTGTACATTGAGTGAATAAATATTATTATTATTATTATTATTATGTGATATCTAATCTACTTTTGTTTACGTGAAACCTAGCAAATCAAAGTTAAATAGACGCATTTTTCATGTGCTTTTTGATGTGCCTAATATTGCTGTTGAAAAATCTATGTTGTAGCCTACCACGGCGTTGCCAGATCTAAGAGCTCTTGTAACTGGTTCATTCATACCATAATCCGTAGAATGATGTGGAATCCTAAACAGCTCTGTATTGCGAGTTCGATTGACTTTGAGATTTATATGTGCAAGCACCTCTGGGCAATCTATGACACCATTAACTATTTTGAACAGAAAACATAAATCAGAAATTTCCCTGTGGCGCGGCGTTCAAGGAGTCAATGTGGAAACGTACGAGGGTTGTCTTTTAAGTTTTGCATAGAGAAACATAGTAGGCCGCGCGGATCGAACGTCAGTACTGAATCTTAACCTCACTCTTTAGTAAACTTAAATCCAAAGTTTCACAACAATACGTGCAGTGTTCTCACTACAGTGTATTTTTAACACGTTCGCTGCCAACTCGGTCTATTAGACCAAAATTGTGTTTGTCTTATTCGCCATCATGGTCCATAAGACCGAGAAGAAATTTTTCCAGCCTCGCCAACGCGGTCGATTAGACCGAGCCGAATATTCAATCCTCTTTCGCCAGCTGTTTAATTTTGCATTGGTTTAACGCTAGTAGTAGACCGAGTTGGCGTCTGAGGATTGTTGACACATATCAGTTATGTAAAAAACTGATTGAATTTTAATATTTTGTTATTTTATTTCTGGATATGGTAGGTTAGAGAAACAAGAATAATTTACTTTATAAATCGTTTATTTTTGCAAAAATCTAGAACGAAAACCAACAGTTTACATAATAATAAATAAAAAACGTAAGAAAAAACTTAATTCTATCTAAGGAGTTTCATATCTATGAAACTTATTAAAGCATGATAAGCAGAAAAACGGTTCACCATTACAACCTTTACAATAATAACGCCCTCTAGTGAGTTTTCGTGCTTCTTTCCATCCTTTTTCGGCTCTCACTTTTTCATAGCATCTACTGCAAGGTCTTCGTTTTTTATAATCACTTTTGCCCATTTCGTGCTTTTGGCGTTTTCTTTTTGGAATCATCTCTGCATCTGGTTGCTCTGCTAACCCATCGTCTTGCGCTTGACATAACTTGTATGTAACAGCTTTTCGAAACTGAAGTAAGGAAATTCTGGCATTCATAGTTTCCTTATACATAATCCATGCATTGACCATTGCAGTATTCAGGATAATCTCTACGGCTAACTTACGGTACCACTTAAAGGTTCTACGCAAAGGTGTCTGATAAGCTGTCATCTGATCAGAGATATCAACCGACGACTTTCCTGCGTTATATGCTACAATGGCTTCAGGATTCTTTACAGTTTTTTGTCTGCGGTTTGTCGTATCTACTGTTGTGTTGATAGGTTTGGTAGAAAGCACTAAAACGTTGCGTTTATCATTCCAGGAAATTACTGTGACACCGTCCTGATTTTCGAGAGCGGCTATCTCTCCACATTTAAGTTTTTTGTTGACCAGGTCTTTTGGAAGGCCTCGTCTGTTTTTTCGCAATGTGCCTAACAAATATGTTTGCCTATCCATCAATCTTTTTGCCAAATCTACACTTGTATACCAGTTGTCTGTTACAAGAGTACGGCCCGAATCTAGTATGGGCTCAAAAAGACTCATAACTACAGATGTGGGTGTAGTATGACCTTGGTCTAAATTTTTTCCTGCATAAATTTTAAAGTTATAGGTATATCCTCCTTTGCTGCACAATTTGAATACTTTTATTCCATACTTATGGCGCTTGTTTCTTATGTACTGTCGCATTATTAATCTTCCCCTAAATGAAATAAGGGACTCATCAATGCAACAAGTCTCGGAAGGTTCATATGATGTTTTAAAATTATGTACTATTTTGTCAATCAAAGGTTGAATCTTATGCAGTCTATCATTATCTGGATTATCCTGATTATCTGCAAAATGCAACATACGTAGCAACAGCTCAAATCTATTACGTGTCATTACTTTAGAAGCTATAGAGTTTTTATACATAGCTTCTCGGCTCCAGTAGGCTTGTATATTAGGCATTTTTACAATACCCATGTACGAAAGCAAGCCAAAAACTTTCTTGATTTCATTTTTATCTGTAGGGAACCAATTATGTAACCTAGATGTACCTTTTACATCTGCTTCATCTGTAATAACTTGCGTGGCATATAGATTCGCTTGGTCAGCAATGTATTGAAAAATAGAGTCATTAATTAGTGAAAAATAAAACATTTCCAGAGGTTCTTCACGCAAAAGCTCAGCAAGATGGGGTTCAGTACCAGTTTGTTTGGTAAAGTTTAATAAAACTGGTTGTCTACCTGTTGGAACACTCCATAATCATATTATCCGAGGCGGCGCCGGCGTTACCAGCTAAATTGTCATCTGTGTCTGTGTTTGGCATAGGCGCGGAGGCAGCACTACTTCCTGGTAATGGAGAATTTGTACCAGAAGTAACGGATAACTCATCGTCATTGGCGTCTGCGGTTTGCGCAAGCATGGGGGAGGCAGCAGAGTTTGTATCGGAACTATCAGATGATTCATCATCAATAGGTTCGTAGTTGCTATCTGCGATACTATCGTCTGAAAAAAATAATAAATGCATGAAGGATTGTACGTGTTTGCAGTCTATCTATTGTCGGAAACTTACAAGTCTATGCGATCGATCTACGAAATAAAGAATGTTTCTTACCGTCATCCTCTAATGCAGATGCTTCATCTGACAGATTTTGCATAATTCGCTCTATCTCTTCTTCTAATTCTTTCTGCGTCAAAGCACGATTTCTGGACATTGTAGAAACACAAACTACATTCAAAAATAACAACAATAACCGCCTATTCCGTCTGAAAGTGTGTACGTACTGAAATGCAATTAGAAAGACAATAGACACCACGTGCTGAATTGAAGAAACATGTCGATTGCGCAAAATCGCTGCGGACCGAGAAATGGACCGAGTTGGCGCATATGATAAAAAAAGCTACTTCCACGCCGCCTCGGTCTGTTGGACCGAGTGACAAATTTGACAATTATGAGATGAAAATGACACCTACAAAGAAACTAACTGCAGGTAACGTAATCATAACTAATAAATTTTGATTGGACAAAATGGCTCCAGGGGAACTTTTTTTTTGTTTGGTCTTCTTTTTGTGGCTTTGGTGGCATAATCATAAATATTGCTTGGCAGCGAACGTGTTAAGCGTCACCAAGTCATTAGAAAAGTGGAACTCAACCGAGAGCGTTTTCGCGCCATAATTTATTACAACTTTCAGCGACAATTATCGCAATAAGAATGCCTTGCTGAGTTACTGTCTGTTTTCGGCAACGAAGCGCCACATCAGTCGACAATTTCCCGTTGGTATTGAGAATTCAAACGTGGACGGGTGAGTCTTAACGACGATTCCAGGGTGGGTGCACGAAAAACGGCAGTCACCCAGGAAAACGTCGATGCTGTGCGCAAACTCATCATTGAAGGTAGACATGTGACATACCGCGAGATTGAGGCGTCCTTGAAGATATCAAAGACCTCAATTCAAAAAAATTTACATGAAGAATTAGGAGTAAGAAAATTAGTTTCTGAAGAGCAGAAAGCAGCCAGGGTTAATTGGTGTCCAAAAACGCTTGACCGTTTCAATTCCGGAAACTCAAAAAATGTGTACAGCATTGTTAGTGGTGATGAATCGTGGATTTACTGTTTTGAACCAGAAAATAAACGACAGTCGGCTGTTTGGGTGTTATAAGGTGAAGAAAAGCCAACAGTCATCCATTCTCGCAGTGTTTCGAATGGTCGCGACATTTGTGTCAAAGGTCATATTGCAACAATTCCTCTTAATGAGCAAAGAACTGTTACTGCGGATTGATATACCACCATTTGTTTGCCAAAATCATCCTCCAAAAAGACAATGCAAGCTCGCACACAGCCCAAAAAACAAGGCAGTATTTAACGGAAGAAAACGTGGAATTATTGGACCATCCTTCATATAGTCCCGATCTAAGTCCTAACGATTTCTTTAGTTTCCCAAAAATCAAAAACAGACTGCGTGGTCAAAGGTTCCAGTCACCAGAAGAAGCAGTTGACGCATTCAAAAATGCCGTTTTCGATCTGCCACCAAACGAGTGGAATAAGTGCTTTGAAAATTGGTTCGAGCGCATGCAGATGTGTATTAATCTTCGTGGAGAATACTTCGAAAAACAATAAAGTCATTTAAAGCTACCTACCGTGTTGTTTCATTTCAATATGCGAAACTTAAAAGACATCACTCGTACTCATTAGTTCTGAAGCATTCTGATTCCGACCGATTTTAATAGCTGTCTGTTTCAAACATTTTCGCTGCACTGCTTCATTGGAGTTAATGTCACCAACTAAATTGGTGAACTGGGGAAACTGAAAAAGAAGAAACGTGCAACGGTGTTCGTCAACTTTAAAACCGACATAATAATGGGTTGTCCAATAGGGACGCAGGAAAGTGAACGTCAATTTGACATAGACGCCATCTTTGTTTTCTGTCACCGACATGTCATTTTGTTAGTTGAATGTTTACCATTGATCGCTATGGAGTCGTATTCGATTGAAGACCGCATTAAAGTTATTCAAGAGCACTACAAAAATGGTGCAAAAATAAAAGACACGTTTCGCGCGCTTCGTGAACATTTCGGTCGCAACAACCGCCCAAACGAAACAACCATCGGTCGTCTGGTACGTAAATTCGAGGCAACAGGTTCTGTGGCAAATCTGCCAGGCTCTGGCCGGCCAAGGAGCGTTCGCACACCGGAAAATATTGCTGTTGTGAAGGAGAGTGTGAGAGACGATCCGAAACAATCAACAACGCGTCGATCCCAAGAATTGGGCATTTCGAGAACCAGTTTGCTCCGCATTCTCCACAAGGATTTGAATGTACACGCCTACAAGATCCAATTAACGCAAGAGCTGCGTCGGGCCGACCATTTTTCGCGCCGAACGTTCTCAGATTGGCTCCTTGAACACCGCCAAATTGATGCCAATTTTTCATCAAAAATCATGTTCAGCGACGAAGCGCATTTCACTTTGAATGGGACGGTAAACAAGCAAAACTGCCGCATCTGGGCGAACGAAAATCCCCGTGAGTATCAAGAGCAGCCGATGCATCCTCAAAAAGTGACTGTGTGGTGTGTGCATTGTGGTCAAAAGGCATCATCGGACCTTACTTTTTCGAAAATGCGGCCGGGGACGCCGTTACCGTCAATTCTGAGCAATATCACGTGATGATAGAGGACTATTTTTTGCCGCAACTTGAAGGAATGGATATGGACGATGTTTATTTCCAACAAGACGGTGCAACATGCCACACAACCAACGTCAATATCCATCGATTGCAGTCCTTCTTCGGTGATCGCGTGATTTCGCGCAGAGGAAATGTGCCATGGCCACCAAGATCGTGCGATTTGACTCCCTTGGACTTCTTTTTATGGGGATATTTGAAAAGCAAAGTCTACGTCAACAAACCAGCCACCCTCCAAGAACTCAAAAACAACATCATTGCCGAGATAAATGCCATAGAACCGACCATGTTGCAAAATGTCATTGAAAATTTCGACCATCGCGTGGACGTGTGTAAATCCAGTCGTGGTGAACATTTGAGCGATATTATTTTTCATACATAAATGGTATAAATGAACCTTCAAAATAAAGTATCCAACTTGATTTGAATATCAATCTTTCTTGTTTTAATATTAGTTTACTTTCCTGCGTCCGTTTTGGACAACCCCATATAAAATATGCATTACGTAATCAAAAAGAAACCATGGTACAGGTGTTGTAGGGTACTCGATTTGCGCTTTTCTAATGCGCAATGTTTTTGTAGTATTTACTCTTTAGTTTCCATCGTGTGAATTAGCACGTAAATATTAAATTTTATGAGTATACAACTAGAGAAGAAGACGGATATTTTCGCAGATAATAAAGTGCTACAGATTTGATGAATATAATCACAAAGATCTATCATGATGAAACTTTCGTAGAATTAATAAATTCTTATAATCGTTTTTTAGTTTTCTTTAGCGATCTTTTTCACAGTTTCCCTCACTAATTCTGCAACTAATTTCACGAAAAAGACTTGTTGCAAGATTTTTCTCAGATATGTTTCAACTGTAACCATAAACCGTGAGTTTCGATGAACCGCGGTTTTTGAGCTTTTGACCATAAATTTCAAAAAATCTCGTAGAACATCAAAAAAAGTCCAGTTCTTACAACTACAGGCCTATATCTCTGCTTTCTGTTATAAGTAAAGTGATGGAGAGGTACATACATCGGGAGTTTTTTTATTACCTTGGTAATAGTTTCCGGCACCAACTGTGGAGAGTATACTCATCCAACCTTATGGTGAGGCTCCTGTCGTTGCTTTTGATATCACGAAAGTCTCGGTCAACTGTCACTTGCTCTCTGACCGCAAGATATCAGTCGTAATTGACAGGTTCTCCGCTTCATCACACAATTCCAACGCGGGAGTTCCCCATGAACCGGTCTTGGCTCTGGCATTGTTTCCATTACATACCAATGTCCTCCTTTCCTGTTCACTCTACATGCAGGAATTCGTATTGACAAGTCTTTCTCTGCCGGTGACCTGGAGAAAAAGCAGAAGACTAGCAGCGACTTCCTCTCAGGCGAAAGATACCTAGAGCTTATCACAGTTTAGGGACGCAAACGTCTGGTACAGTTTTATGCTTCAAAAACACAGAAGAAACTAGTAATGCACCACAATCAACTAACAAGAAGTTGGCGCTCATCCGGTTTCGATGGATGGCCGAGTTCTACTAAAAAGCCGTTCATTTGGGCTGGTCGGAATCCAGAACACCGAGGATTTGATCTGGCACGAAATATCTAGTCAATCATGGCAGCTGCAGGGAAAAAAGCTAGGCTATTTAATCAGTACTAATTTTATCCATGTTCAATACTGTTCACCGGTCGGCTAATCGATCACGCTTCTCCAACGAACAGTCTCGGGACTCTTTCGCACCGAATGCCTCGACGATCTGGCATCTTCTGACCCGGCCTCCCATCCTAACCGTGTCGAACTTCGTATCATCCAGAATTGGCAGGTACAAAGTTTCTTTAAGCTCTTTATTGCAGCCGTAGTGCCTTGGTATTTAGGCTTCTGCCTACGTGGCCGTTACGGTACAAAAAATATATCTTCCAACCTCACACACACCAATCTAGCAGTCCCTACCTGCTACCTCTAACCTCCATTAACATATTTTTTTCTGTTCAATTGATAGGAACAACAAGGTTACAAACACGATCTTTTGTACACCAATCAGCCACCCCAACTACGTACTCAGGATCTCGACAAGAAGTTTCCGAAAATCTTGACTCAAACCCATAAGGACAACTAGGTCCTTTTCTAATGTATGTTAACCTACTGATATGATATCCATTTTGCAATCATATCCACACATGATGACGTCATCAACCCACCTTATCCGCATGAATCCGCCACCCCAACCCCAATCCATTGGTCGCAACCCCAACACGAATTAATTGCCGTCCAACGCCTCAGGGGAGGGGGCAGACGCGAAGAGAGGGGGAGAGGGAATGCGAGAGCGTCCGGCGATTAGACGAAGGGCTGTGGAAGGGCTCCACCCACCTCCTGCCTTCTCCTACTTGCCTGGTACGTGGCCCTTCCGAATCACGTGGCGACTCACGCTGACAAGGTCACGAGAAGGGCGAATGTTGTGAGAGTGGGGCGCGGCGGGCGGTGAGGAAGAAATGGGAAGCGAGAGGGTGATGATGAATGATGGAGTGTGTGTGTGTGGAGGATGTAGGGTGCCGCGTGCAACGTGACTATACGTGATGCTCGAATCTTCCTGACAGGAGAAATTAAATGGTCTTTTATACCCAAATTCTGGAAATCGAAGTACTAACTGGTGTAGATTTATTTCAATAAGCGAACCTTTTTCAAATGTTTTCATCACATTCAGCGAAAAAACATTGAGACATGAGTATCAGATTGCTATAATTGGGATTATTTAGTCATATTGAAAGAAAGAATATTGAACGTCGTATGATTACTCAGCGCTTCACAATTTAATTTAAAGTTATAAACCTTTAAAAAATGAATGATCAGGAACCTAAAATACGCGCAAATATTAATATTAACAAATTATAACTTTATAAAGCTTAAAGTATGAATTAAAATGAATAGAAATATTAGGAACGGTACACAATATAAAACTTAGTAACTTTTTTTAAGTTTATAATATTCGACATATTTTAAGATTATATTAAAAAATTATTGAAATATCGAAAACACATAAAAACATAGCTTAAAAAAGTTCTAACAAATGAAAATGACAATAAAACATCCACGCATTTTATCGAAAGTTATAAAAGTTTTGTTACTTGTAATATGTTTTATCTGCCCCCTGGAATTAATGTTTAGAACCTTGTTCCCAAGGTTTGAAAAACATCCGATTGTTGTCTATTACTCGTATTTACCTGCTGGATTTTTTAATCCGGTGGACAGTCCATCTAGAAAGGCCCTCCTGGATGAAGTTACAGAATCATCAACCCATACTTTACTTGTAGTGTGTCCTGCGTTTACCCACGTTTCATCAAGGTAATAAGTCTTCCTGTTTTGATTTCTATATTTCCCAATTTTTGTTAAATAATCCCTCCTCCATAGCACAATTTCTTCTCTATCCAGTAGTAAACTATTACGACCCCGTTTTTTCCATTTGAAATTTAAATGCTTCAGTAACGCATGGAAAGTTGATCGTTTGAAATTTGGCAACGTTGTATCTCCATTTACCTCCTGCAGTACTTTATCTATAGTAGGTATTTCATTCCTAAAGAAGAATTCATGCACTTTCCTCCTAATCCCATGCTTATCAGCTTCATCCAATGATTTAACAATACTTTTGCGATGTTTACTGGTCATTGGCTCAGAAAAGGTGTGATTTTTTTTGTATTGTCTTAACACATTAAACACTGATGCGCGACACACCCCAACTTTGTGAGAAACCTTCACAACAATTTCTTTGATGGTTGATGCCTCGTTCTCCTCGCGCTCGATCTTATATATATTCAAAATGACCTCTTTCATTTCTGCACTCAGGTGTCTTTTTTTAGAGCGTTTCCTAGATGGACTACAGGAGTTTACAACTTCATCGGCAGTATCTGTACTACTGGGCATTTTGCGCAAGCAGTTGATAACAATAACAATC